GTTTCGACAAGGTTTTGTGCCCGATGATGACAAAACCTTGTCGAAACGTTGTACATTTGCTGTTATGTTAAACTTGTATTAAAGAGTTCTTTCATTACCCATTCAAGCCGTCTCCAAGCATTATAAGTGTCTGTCTACTCATTGCCAGAATTTTTGTCTCTCACATAACTTAAGATACGGTAACACAATAAATATGAGGTAGCTCAACTAATAGACTCTCAGTATTGATTAGACAGCGAGCAATCAGCGTCAACTTGACTATTCTTTATTGTAGTTGAAAGACAATACTTTAAACGAAGCACTTCGTCTAAAACCGAGGCGATTTCCAAGAATTTGGAACGAAGAGCACGTTTCTACAGCATCGATTTGTACCAAAACTGATAATTTCTCGTTGCTACAATTCCATTGCACATGGTGATCACGTGCTATGTAAGTAGACTGTGCTTGAATGCAGAATAGTTCAATTAATTATATTAAAAGCATGCACAGATTTTGGTGCACGTAATATGTGGCCGTAATAAACTACCCAGCGTGGAGATAAGGGATTATAAATTATGAAACATAGTTAAACTATATAAATCAAATCCGGGTAATCCAACACGTGAATAAATATTTCATGAAATACCAGAAACAGACATGAATTATTTTCAAAACTAATATACGTTCCAATAGTAGAAGTGTCGTTAGTAATAACATTATTTAAACCAGTATCTACATACTACTTAATTAGTATTAATAATAACATTGTTTGAACCAGTATCTATCTACATGGTACATGATTGATATCAATAATAACATTGTTTGAACCAGTATCTATCCATATGGTACATGATTGATACTAATAATAATACTGTTTGAACTAGTATCTATCTACATGGTACATGATTGATATCAATAATAACATTGTTTGAACCAGTATCTATCTACATGGTACATGATTGATATCAATAATAACATTGTTTGAACCAGTATCTATCCATATGGTACATGATTGATATTAATAATAATACTGTTTGAACCAGTATCTATCTACATGGTACATGATTGATATCAATAATAACATTGTTTGAACCAGTATCTATCTACATGGTACATGATTGATATCAATAATAATGTTGTTCTGACTCACCTTATTTATCATGCTGTTACACTTGTCATGACTTATGTACTATCACTACCTGACGTTAATTAATTAGTTCTGCCTCAACTTATATATCATGTTGTTACACTTGCCATGACTTATGTACTATCACTATTTGACGTTAATTAATTAGTTCTGACTCACCTTATTTATCATGTTGTGGCACTTGCCATGACTTATGTATTATCTCTACCAGACTTTAAAATATATTCCATGTTGTGTTGTTATCGTAGTAGCGACCTTCAGGATCTTCCATGTTGTGTTGTTATCGTAGTAGCGACCTTCAGGATCTTCCATGTTGTGTTGTTATCGTAGTAGCGACCTTCAGGATTCCACTGTAAAGGTTTAATTTCTGATTTCTCAACTGATTCGTCAAGTCTAAATTCACTGAATAATTTATGAATATTGAACTCGGGTGCACTTCCTATAGATCATATACTAAACCACACTGAAAATCTCTGACTAAATTGTTGTTATGGGCAATGGTGAACTTCCTATATCTTATATACTAAAACACACTGAAAATCTCTAACTAAAGTATTGTAATCGACACAGGTGTTCTTCCTATAGATCATATACTAAAATACAGTGAAAATCTCTGACTAAAGTATTGTATTATAGGTGTACTTCCTATAGATAATACACTAAAACACTCTGAAAATCTCTGACTAAAGTATTGTATTATAGGTGTACTTCCTATAGATAATAAACTAAAACACACTGAAAATCTCTGACTAAACTGTTGTTATGGACAATGGTGAACTTCCTATAGATCATATACTAAAATACAGTGAAAATATCTGACTAAAGTATTGTATTATAAGTGTACTTCCTACAGATAATACACTAAAACACACTGAAAATCTCTAACTAAACTACTGTTATCGACAATGGTGCACTTCCTATAGATAATATATTAAAACACAATGAAAATCTCTGACTAAAGTATTGTTATCGACAATGGTGCACTTCCTATATATCATATACTAAAACACAGTAAAATCTCTGACTAAACTACTGTTATCGACACACTTGCACTTCATATGGATCATATACTAAAACACAGTGAAAATCTCTGACTAAAGTATTGTTATCGACAATGGTGCACTTCCTATATATCATATACTAAAACACAGTAAAATCTCTGACTAAACTACTGTTATCGACACACTT